AAACAAACAAACCAGGGATAGGTATGAAACAGGCAGTGTGACAGGCATTAGGTAAAGAGCACTGAACAAGGCAATGATGTTTGCACAGTTGATAGTCAAGGGGAAAAAGAATAGCATACATTTACAAATAGGATGGCTGTTCTTGGAAGGGGTTCAAGTTGTGTAAGGCAATATAATTTTTCAGGAGGTAAGTACATTAGAGAGTTTGTTAATCATAAACAGGAAGATGTAATTATGTGGGGTGTTTGTAATTAAATGACAAGTCCAGGTGGGATCAGAAGCTTATATATGATGACTTTTAAAGTCTAAATTCCTCATTTTTTCCTGCTTAGAGGGGTAGTCCCATTTACCACTGAATTGTCTGCAGGACTATGGAGACCGTATCTCTAAAATCTAAAAGCAATGAGTTTGTAAGCCATATCAATTTTGAGAATTATTTATCTAGAAACAATACCTATCCTCACTGTACTTTAAACAGCTGCAGTTAACCCACTGATATTGGACTCTCTTGATGGGTTTGCATCAGAGAGCAATCCATGGCTTGGAATGTTTTTCCAAGCCGGCAACAAGTCCTCAGAGAGGAATTTGCTGCAGAGAGATGAGTGATTTGGGGTCTCAGAAATTCTTTACTATACCCTTGAAAGGTCTTCCCCACTGTGTTAATTTCTTAGGGTTACTATAAAGAGTAACCACGAACTTGGTGATTTAAGACAAGAGAAATTTATCCTACCTCAGCTCTGGAGACAAGCTGAAGATGACAGCAGAGCCATGATCCCTCTGAAGTTCCAGGGAAGAATCTACTTGGCCGTCCCTCTAGCTTTGGTGAGACTCCCAGCAATCCTTGGCATTCCTTAACTTGTAGCAGCTATCCCTAGCTACAATCTCTGTCTCCATTTTTCATGGACTTCTTTTCTGTGTTTCTCTGTATCTTCTGATCTTATAAGGGCATAAATCATTGAAGTTTGGGCAAATCCTAAATCCAGGCTAATTTTATCTTGATTGAAATCTTAATTGAATATAACTGCAATTATCCTATTTAAGAGGTTCTAAGTGTACAAGAATTTGAGGGAACCCTATTCGATGCACTAAACCTACAATTAGAAACAAAAATAACAAAATTTGATAAGAGTTGGTGATGTATGTATTATATCTTAAGATCTTTCAAACACCTAAAAGGGAAAAGCTATCTCTATGGAAGTCTAGAAAAGGATGCATTCTAGTTACCTGTTTGGGATACAGAAGCTGTTACTTGATGTTTGATATCAATTAATTCATTCATTCACAAAACTATTAGATACTTACTGAACACAAGAGAATGTGAAAATGAATCAAGCATCTCAACTTCTTTATCCTTGAAGCCCAGTCTGCTTATTCTAATTGGCAACACAATTACAGTTGAGCATAGTGAGAGCTACAAGTGGGAGTGTGAACAGAGCAGAGAGCAGCTAACGTCACTTGTTGTGATCAGGAAGCTTCATGAATGTGACAGTGAATCTGGATTTTGAAGGACACTTAAGAATTCAGTAGGAAGAGAAGTTTGGATGCTTATGAATCATGAATGATTATTCGCTTGGTTCAAAAGATGTAAGTTACTCATGCCAGGTGGAATTTAAATAAGGACTGTGGTTTCAGGGAGCTAAGAAAGAGAAGAGAGTAAAGAGAAAGCCATTTAAATGGAAAAAGTTTGTCGTTGCTACGAATTCAGATGTACCACACCGTCAATTTCACATTGCAAAATAAGTCAAAAAGTAGGCAGGATGAGTCTAGGTGAAAAGGGATCCCTGACCTTTTTAGATAGAGAGGGACTTGGGGGGAGTATTTAGGAGACAATAAAGAACATTTTTATCTGATGAACATGACATCATGACATGAATGACAGAAGGCTGTTGATCTCCTCTCTCTCTGTTATAGTGACTTAAGTGTTTGATTGTACAACAAAATTTCTCATCAAGGGATTCTGAGAATTTGCTAGGGATAAGTAAACATGTAAAATGTTTTTAATTGCTTTGTTATTTGAAAACGACTGTGGTCTCTTGTTTCCTTTATTAAATTTATTTCCAGGAAACTATGGAGACAGGCACAGATGCACCTCATTTTAGGATTTCATGGCCAGAGAACAAACCTCAGCTTTACAGAGTCCCCCAGTGTTTACAGACTTCCTTCCCTCCCCCCAGGTGTTCATCTCCCCCAAACACCTTCCATTTTAGAAATAAACAATGTGTGGACACAATGCCTGTTTCTCCACTCTTCCTTCTCTCCCTTCTCATTCCCTTCCCTTACCCAAACTCAAGTGTTGGAACTTGCAGAAATTGGCTTCATCTACCCCTGTTTCTCAATCTACACAAAAACCTCTTATTTACTCTCATGACCTCCATGCTATCTCTGCTGTAACAACTCCTACGTCAGTATCTCTCAACTAGTTTTCTTCTTGAGTTTCAGACCCCACTGTCTCTGGACATCACCCTTTAGATATCTTGCAGGCCCTCAAATTAAACATCATGATGAAGAAGTTCTTCCAGTACCCTCATCATTTAACAAGTCCTCTGCCGTAAATAGTCTGCAAGTCTCTCTCTTCTTCCTCCATCCCCCACTGTTGCCATGACTGCACAAGACATCAGCATCTTCCACCACTTCTTAGCCCATTTTTTAGAGCTTATTTTCTTCTCCATCTAGCCTATCCCTCATGGATACAATGATAATCCTCCCTACATCTCACAGTTCCTCAGATTCTTTGATAGGATATCTTTATCTTTAGGATAAAGTCCCAGGCTTTCACCTAGCTTGCAAGATCTCTCATCAGCTTATTCTTTTCTACTCTCCAGCCTCCAGTATCATTTCCAAAGTTGCAGTCATTCTTTAATTTTTTTTTCAGGAATATATCAAGCTTTCTCTTGGTCAAAGGTACAATTTTTCAGTTATAAACCATGTAAGTCATGGCAATGTAAGTCACGGCATGGTGCCTGTAGTGAATACTCTATTGTATTGCTGTATTGTATACATGAAAGTTACTAGGAGAGTAGGTTTTAAAGTTTCTCATCACAGGAAAGAAATGCCCAACTATGGGAGGTGAAGAATGTTAACTGAACTTATTGTAACAGTCACTTGGTAACATATAAAAGTATTGAGTCATTATGCTGCATGCTTGAATCAGATATGATGTTAAATGTCAATTATGTCTCAATTGAAAAAAGATGTCATCTCTCTTGGGGTTTCTATGTTTGCTATCTCTTCTACTCAAAAGTGTTCCTTCGATTTTGGCAACATCAAACTTCACTTAATGTCCATTCCTACTGGATCTTCAGGTTTTAATTTAAACATCACCTCTTCAGAGAGGTCTTCTTTGAATCCTCAGACTAGCAACTTGGGACTCCAATTTTATTTTATTTGTTTATTTTATTATTATTTTTTTTAAGATTTATTTATTTGTTCATACAGAACTGGGGTACAGGCCAGAGGTGCAGGGATGGTGAGAGGCTTCACCAGAGACAGACTGGGGAGCAGAACAGGCAGATCAATGAAGTACACTGCTGAGGGGAGCAGCAGGCGGGCCAGGAGAGGTCTGCCGCGCCATGTGGTCACCTCCAGGCAGGCGGGGATCGAACTCATGCTGACGTGGCTTAAGCTTCTTAGTGCAGTGCTTTAACCCGCTGCGCCACCAGGGAGGGCCCAGGACTCCAATTTTAAAGAGACATCATTATTGAGATCAATTACTTGTTTAATAAGCATACGTTTTGCCAGAGGTCATTTTCAAGATGGCAGGAGTTGTGTCTCTTGTTCACTATTTTAACCTCGGTACTGAGGACAAGGCCAGAACATCAGTGCCATAGAGGCAGATGACTCTCATATTTGCTCATTTTGTGTTGTAAACTTACCTTCTGCTAAAGTGTACAGATAGCCCTAAAGTTAGTACTTACTGTGCATTCACCACCATGCACAGACCTGGGTGGTGTGGAGGGAAACTGGAGGTACCTGATATACATGTTGTCAGCTGAAGTGGAATAAAATGACACTCTGCCTTCTTGCTTCAGCTCTCAGACTATGGTCTAGTTAGTGCCAGACTTTTCACATTTTTGTGCTTTCACTACTTAAAATACTCACTAGCTGTCTGGTGTTCTTAAGTGCAAGAAGGCTGTGATATGCTTCATGGACAGATGTATTGTATAACTTTCCTTCATGGTGAGTTATGGTTGGTTATGAGTTCACAGACAATAAATCAACAGTTTATATTATATGAGGTGTCTTTAAACAGGAACATATATAAAGCAAGGTGATAAATGTTATCAGTATGTATGTGATCAGTAGATGGCTTTGAGCAGTGGGCTATGCAGATGCTGGTTTCAATGGCAGGTAAGAAGGGTGAGCAAAACAATGTGAACTAAAAAAGCAGTAAGTTTCAGGGAGGTGAAATTTAGCATTTAACAAGTCTCTATCTACATGAAGTAGAAATTAGTAATAGTAGAAACACTATTCAAAATAGTGATTGAAGACAACTAAATGTTGACCTAAGAAACCTTGAGCACACAAGCTTCATCACACAGATGTGAGAGTGTATCTTAGGTACTTTGAAGTTAAAAATACATTTATCACTTGGCTTATAACTTACTCCATCATTTATATTTACAAGTGAGTTTGACTAATTTGGGGCTTGTTATTATAAGCAAACAAACATACTCCTGTATAATAAATCCACAGGAGGTGAGTTTGATGATATAATGAGTTTTTTGTCTCTTACTTTTTATGCCTGAACTAAGAGCTCCAATATCTAGAAAATTAAGAACTGTTCATCATTCCAGGGAGAAAGCAGGAGGAACTAAGTTTCATCTCTAAACTTTGCCCAGGGTCACTGGCCCTGCTAACTTATAGGGCACCAAAGTGGTGGCACATGATCATTACCCACTTCCCAGAGTAGCAGGGAGCAAATTGCAGGAAGCATGTCAGCACATGCTTGAGCAGAGAGCCAAGCCTGCCTCTCCTACCTCCCTGGCCTGGAGCAGTAATACCTTTGTTGTCGTGCCAGACCCTCAGCTTGCAGAGATGGCCCAGGCTCAGCATGTCGGAGAAATTGAATGTGTCCATGTTGTTCCGTTCAAACTTGTTCCAGTTGGCCGACTGCTTCAGGGCCAGGGTCCCGCTGTCCCCATTCTCCCCAAAGATGATGATGAACACATTGGCATCGGTGCCTGCTCCTGGGGGCACAAAAGACGAGGCTCTGGGTGCTGGCTCTCAACACATGGTGCTCTTGCTTTGCCCTTGATCATGGTTTCCTCAGAGAGGCCAGGAGAGCAGAAGGACAAAGTCAGAGGTGAGAGGCCATCCCGAGACCCAAGGCTGAAGCTGACACAGAAGGTGATGGCTAAGAATATGGGTGAGGGAAGGGCCCAAGGGTGCCTGAGACACCTGCCTCTGGTGGGTGCGGAGGTCAGGCAGTAGCAGGACCCCTGAGTCGAGCTCCTGCACTGCTGACCGTACCTGATGAGGTGTTCCCTCACTTCCCAGAGGGAGGAGAGATGGAGCCAATGCAGTCACTGGAGAAAGCCTTGGCCAGACAAAATGGGAAAAGGCCAAGAGATGAAAAATCATCAATGTCTTTAAGAAATAAGGTGAAGAAAAGCAATATTGAAAGGGACAAAGTAGAGAAAACTCCGAAAGGAGAAGTGTCAGGATTTATCCCAGCAGGATGGAACTCTTTGGGTGGCTGCTAGGAAATGGGATGAAGATAACGGACACAGCTGGAGACAAAACCAAGGTCTTCAAACCCGTTACCCAAGGTTGTGCCAGTCAAAGGACCTCCTCTTAGTCCCACAGCACTAAAGGACCCCACACAAGTCTATTCTATTTACTCATGTTTGGAGAAATCTAAAAAGCCTGAAGGTAGAGATTACAATGAGGAATCTGGGCTTGGGAGTCATCAGGCAGGCTGAGCACGCTAAGGATTGAGAAAGGGCCAGGGTCCCTTGGTTCAAAATCTCATTGGGGACTTTTTACACAAGAGTTGTTAAATGGTATTGAGGTAGAGAACAGAAGTTTCTAGCCCTTTCAATGAAAAAATGCCTAGAGCTTGAGGCAGAATTTGAGGAGCAGCAGAGGGAGTGGGAGGTGGGAGTAGGAGCTAGAAGGGACCCTCAACTTACCCAGGATGTCACTCGTCTTCACCGAGACGGTGTAGGAAGTCCACTCCATCATCTCCTCCCCGTCGATGACTGCACACATCTCACACACCAGCGTCTTCTTGCCTTTCCGCACGGACAGCCAGTCTCCGTAGTAGAACATGGTCAGGTCTCCAGTGTTCATGTTCTTTAGGAGGATCTGGATGGGAGCACTCAGTGTGGGCGCACCCTCTCTCACTTCCACCAGCACCCCTTCTGCTCATGCAGCCCCTTTAGCTGAACCCCAAGGACACACATTCCCAGACTGAGATGAGCTTGTCTGACTTAGACAGGGGGTGGATGGAAAAGGCCCTGTTGAGGAAAAGGACCCCACCCTCTGTGCCAGACACTGGGTCTCAACCTTCAGGTATGACTGCCCTATTTCGGAGATTCCAAAAGGGGCAATCCATAGAAGCATGTTTCTGAGAAGAGCCTATCACTCCATGCAAGAAGTGTTTGTTGAATGAATGACAGAAAACTAGATGAACCAAAGCTCTCTCAGACACAAGCAAATCAGGAGTTTGCCAGCCTGGCTTTGACCCGGGCCGAAAATCTGCTAATGGTTGAGCGGGGAGTAGGAGGTGCCTGAGGGGACCAGACTGATGCCTCTGGTAGATAGGGGAGAAGATTATGGTCTCGGGGGCAGTAGAGACTCAGCATGAAAAAGAGGCTGCCATCTAACTGTGTGGTCACAGAAACAGCAAGTCCCCTGCCATCTTCCATGGGGGTCGCGCCATTTAGTCTCTTGGGATCCCAGTTCTTGCTGCTCCCTTCTTCATCCTCCCCAACTCACTTCCTCCATGAAGCCCACACCAAGCCTCTGTCCACATTAAATTGACAGTTCATGCTATTCTTTGGAGTTGCTTCAATTTTGACTGAACACAAATAAAGAGAACTAAGTTGTCTGGTTAATTCATGCCAAGGGCCAACTGGACTATATAGTCCAGGTTCATGGAATTTCCCTTTAGGGTGCCGTCTGCCTGCCGACAAAGTCCACCAGCACCCCAGAAGAGCAGGATGAGGAAGCGGGTAGTGGGTGGAAATAAAAGGGAAGGCCCAGATACTTCACCCTTTCCAGGAACCACTCAGGCCGGCTACCCAAGCCGTCAATTCGGATGCGCATCTTGGTGAAGGGAGCAATGTCCAGGATCTCCATGATGAAGGTGTCATTCTGCTCCCGCTCAAATCTGGGGGTGGGAAGAAGTAGGAAGAGGGGGAACTGGCCTTGGTAAGGAAGTGAGGCCATAGCAGAGACCAGATTTTGGGTTAGGGAGAGAAGTCTTACATGGCCCCTTTCTCAACTTCCAGTGACTGTCCAATAGCTTGTCTCTTGCACTCCAGATACAATCCCAAAAGAAAGGGTTAAGTGAGTTTGGCTGGTAGAAATGACCAGAAGCAGGAGCTGGTAGTTCTGGGTCCTAAGTTCTGCTCATCACCCAAGAGCAGCTGCGTCTCCTCTCTGGGACATGGTTTCCTCATCTGTGCTCTGGGGAGGATGATGCTGGCCCCGCAGTCCCACAACTGTCATGTGGACCAACTGGGGTGTGACATCAACCTCAAATGCAAAAGGGGCTCCATACTGCCAAGAGCACCTATGAATGACAGAGCCACCGGGCACTGCAGGTCGCACCTGCCTCTACTCACTGGATGCAGGGGCCCTGGACTGGGCAGTGTTACTGACACCTTGTCAAGCTGCAGGCATATAGAGAGAACACTGCTTTCTTTGCTGTCACTGTTTTGGGGCTGAATGACCTCGTCATCTCAAAGCCGTTCTTGCCGACAGCACGGTGCTGTATATACGCTTCGACCTTCCATGCTGTCTGCTTAAATGCCAACTGATTCCAGATGCTGCTGAGCCCTTGGGGATAATACAGGTGGCATGGAGACATGGCATGGCAGGGCAACTGCTATGCTTTCCTGAACACAATACATAGTTTTAAAAAGAGAGCACAGCCAGAGCCCGTGGGGAGCAGGGCAGCAAATGCAGCAAGCCGAGAGCTAACAACCCTGGATGGAATGGCTGCTGTGGAATGCAGGCCGGTCTGCTTTGCCTATTTGCTCGGGGGAATTGCAGGGCTCTCAGGGTTGAAGATGATCTCCCAAAATTCTGCCCCAAATCGCTTCTGCTTTGATTGTAGCCCTGTCTGCCCCTCCGGTCAGGTGGAAACAGTCTGGAGGAGCTCACAGATTCCTGTCGCCCTCTGAGTACATAATGTAGATTCTCCTCATAACACTCAGCTCATGGATTCCTTTCCCTGGGCAGGGGACAGTTTTGCAGATCAAAGGAATGTTATGTTCTTCACTTTGTATTTCCTTTCATTTTCAATCTTTGAATTTAGCTCGGTATCTTTATATTACGGAGATTTTAGGTGAGGAAAGAGGAGAGACAAGCTTTTCTTCTCGAAAACTGGAGAATGATTAAGTTGTTCCCTCATCCTTCTTCATAGGCTAAACCCCAAGTATACCCTGATGACCTCATCATCTCAGTATCATACACCAATATCTGTAGGGAAAGCCCCTCATTGGCCCTTGAATTCTTCAGTTTTGACGCCTGGAGATTCCAGACACAGGTCAAATATCGGGCCACATGCAAATGAATCAGGCAAAATGTGTAAGCCCTGAGCTTGCAACCAGAGCAATCGAGAAATTCTGACTTTCCTCACAAAATAAATCTTTATTCGGCAAGACATAATCCTTTAACCTAACAAGTTTCCTTAAAGCACTTACAGCATGGCTGTATTTATAACATAACCTTCAAGCAACACTTTTGGAATGCAGATACTACCAGAAAGGAGGTATAGAGCTCTCCCACCAGCAATCAAAGCTGTGTCCGTCTTGTTTACACCTTGTGTAAGGTGGGACAGTGACTCTGAGAAAATCCAGATGTCTCAACTGGGGTGGAGATTAAGATCTGAATAGAAGATTGTAGGAAACTGACAAGGTGACAGTAACTAGACTATGCGTGACAGTAGAGCTCCAAGCCACTCCCTCTGCAGCAACCATCCCAGAAAATCAGACCACAGCCTCAGCAGTCAAAGGCCGTGACAGTCAGCACTCGGTGGGTGCCCACCAGCTTCCCTGTTTCGCCCCTGCTCCTAAGTCAGGACCAACCGGGGAAATCAATGTACACCCAATCCAGTCACAGAAGATGCCCGTCGCTTGTTAGTTCACCTCCAGCTCCGAAACATTTCACTGTGACGCTTACCCACATTCCTGGCACCTTCTCATCTCTGCAGAACTGAGTGGCTGATGCCTTTGCTACAAAGCAAGCACTAAAGAAATAGCTTCTGTTCTCCTTTGGTCTCTTTATTTCCCAGTTGCTGAGTTCAAATCCCAGCACTCCTACTTATTCACAGTGTGATCTTGGGCAGATTACTTCAGCTCTCCATGTCTCAGCTACCTTATTTATCAAGTGCATAAACCAATTACACAGGTTTAATTGCTGGGGTGTTATGAGTTAATATATATTAAAGAGCACTTAAGACAGGTGTTCAATAAATGTTAGCCATTATTCTCATCATTAATCCTAGTCACTCAGGGGAGAATGGCAGGAGGAAATGGGACTTGCATAATGAGAGCAGCATTTATAAATGAAGGCAGGCATCTGATTTCATCAGATGTTACACCTCCCCTTCCCACCCAGGGATGAACTCATAAGATGGACAGAACTCCTGCTGTCATGAATGCTGTGTCCAGGGGACAAGTCCTCTGCCTGGGCCCCATGAACTTCAACATCCTCATCCTCACTATCATCACCGTCCTCCTCATCATCATGTTTACCACTCTCTCATCACCACCTCACCATCATCCCGCCGTCATCCTCACCATCCTCAGCATCAGTGCCATCCCGAAGGGCCGACTGAGGGCCCACCAAGTGCATGGCCAAGAGACCTGAGGCGGCAGAGAGGAAGTCAACCTGGATCCTACTGTCCAGCCTAAGGGAGGTGGCAGAGTGAGTCAGACGCAAGTGGCTGCAGGTGGATTTTAGAAATGACTTCGAGACTCTCCCCTCTTGTCCTTAAGATACTGGGGGCCAGGGGTGGCTTGGGGGTATCCAGCAGACACAACAGACAGTAAGTACTGTAGGAGGGCACCTCTGTTGGCACTACTAGTGACTATTTGCAGAGACAGGGGAACCTGGAACTGTCCAGGTACCGTTCCCAGAGACACTTCTCACTGGCTTTGGGACCTTGAACAGATCAACTTCACCGTGCTAGGCTTCAGTGTTCTCACCTGTAAAATGGGCATGATAATAATGACTCACATAGAGTTGTGTCAATACCTTAAGCCCACGCACGTGTTCATGCCATTGTGTGGGACCCTCCGGTGTTCAGCTTCATGAGAATAATGACTGAGATGGTGTCTGACTTTCTTTTTTTAATTTTAGTCGTTCACTATTATACTCAGACAAGTTTCAAGAATAGAGTTTCTGTGTACCTTTCACCCATCCCTCCTAACATTAACATCCCATATTATCATAGCACATGGAAATTAAGACATAAACAATGACATGTTGCTATGGGCCAACCTACAGACCCTACAAAAAACATTTTTGAGTGACAGGTGAAGGAAGGAAAGAAGTACAGAGACCCCTTAGAGGAGGAGCAGGTTTGAAGAACAGAAGGGAGAAAGGACCAATAAGGTAGGGTTATGGGCTGTGGGGGACCCAGGAAGACTTCCTGGAGGAGGCAGATTTGAGCTGATCATTGAAAGAGAAATGTCTTGGACAAAAGAGAATGGATGAAGGGCATTCTGGGAGGAAGGAATCAAAGGGACATAGGTGTGGAGGTTGGAAGGTCCCAAAGTGTGAGGAGAATGTGAGGGAAGCAGCCTGGTTGAAGGCAGGGAGGGACCAGGTGTGGAGGATTAAGTGGACCAAGTGGTGAGGACTGAGGCTGCCTCTGGATACCTGGCCTTCTTTTTGTCCAGCTGCACTTCCTCTGTGCTGCCATTGATGCCGTAGAGTGTCATAAAGATGTTGGAGTCAGTGCCACCCCCAACCACATCACCGGTCCACACTGTCATTTCATAGAGCACCTGTGTGAGAGGGGAAGGGGCCTGAGCTGCAGCGCTCACCACTCACGGGCGGGCCTCGCTCTCACTAGGGCAAGAAGACATGCTCTCTGAGGCACGACTCTGCAAAGACCCTCCCCCTAATCATCTGAGAATGTCTGGAGGCCTTGCCCCTCTCTTGGTATGTGGCTATGCCCAGGTCAGTGTAGGAGAGGATTCTGGTTCTGATGGAGAACCTAATACAGTAGAACATGATCGAAAGCCTGGCATCAGGCCATTGTCAAGCAAACCCCAACCTATGTCCATGCTCCCTAGCAGGCCATGGTGCAGGGGGGCAGCTTCGGGAAACATCCAGAGCTCCATACGGACCCCAGATCGGCCACTTGCTAGCTGCTGAGCCTAGACAGGCCGCCACTCTTGACCAGCCTCTGCCCCTTCTGCTGCATAGAAGGGTCAAGGACTCCGAGAGCTGTATGAGGAGCTGATGATCTGCCTGTAGCAGCCAGCACAGCCCGTGAGCAGGGCAGGGAGGGATGACAGGTAAGGAGCTCCCCCTCTATTGTTCCATGAAGTGGGAGCACTGTCTATTCTGTGTGGTCATCTACGTGACTTAGGCTTCTGCTAGGATTTTGCCTTTATGCCTGAGGTTTGCTCCAACGGTGTCTTCCCTTTGTGGGACAAGTGGGACCGAGCAGCCCGCTCGCCCTAGCATGGAGGGAAGGCCTTGGTGTTTCCCCCGACAGGGGCCCTTCACCCTGGCTCAGGTGTGTCCTCTGTCTCTGCTTCCTCCAGGCGCTCTCCCCGGTGCCCAAGGCCGGGCAGGTAGGTCTCAAGGTCCAGGAGGGGCTGGCGCCTGTGGCAGGGAGATGCCGGCTTTCATCTCCTCCTGACATCCTGGCCTTTCCCTTTTCCGTAGTTCCCATTGCATTTTCACCTGTAGATGCTGGGTCCCCACAACCCAGAAGACTCCAAATTCAGAGCCCAGGTGATTCAGGGCAGTGACCTCGCCCTGCGGCTCTGGGGCTCTCCAGGCCGGCACAGAGGACAAGTTCAGTTCATGTCTGCTGAGAGAATGAATGGAGAGTCTTTTGCTTTTCCGGAGAGTCCTACTGCCCACCCAACAAGGGCATCTGTGACAGGCGGGAGGTGCTGTCAGAGACAAGGCTGGCACTTTTTTGCTCTTCTCGGGGCGGGCATACAAATCAGAACGTTCAAAATGCCCACGGAGGTCTGGCCCCACAGGGGTGGCCCTCCAGACGCCCATGTCCATCTATCCTTCACACAGACACATCTCTTTTTATGTAATATGTGTGTATCCAGAAAGAGACACAAAGCGTTTTGTCATCCCGGTCTGACCGTGGCTTCCCGGGAAGACTGTTAGTCTGAAGAACCCTGTAGTTCTTTGTTGAGTGACAAACCTGTGTTCTTTTGTCACATGAATAACAGGATGTGGGGCTGGCTTTCCAGAGCCTGAAGAGCTCAGAGATGCAGCGTTACTGAACTGGGGGGCAGGGGGTGATGGGGCGGGACACAGCACCTGCGAATGGGGTCAGACTCAGACAGGGCCCCTGGGTGGCTCCTGTGCTCACCCACACGACCAGCTGCCTGTCTACCAAGTTGCTGGCTTGAGGGGAGAGGGTGTCTGTGCTGTAGGAGGTTCTGTTTCAGGACTGCCAGGCAGCAGGGGGTGGGGCAGGTGTCCCCTGTTGTCTATCAAGAGTCCAAAGCCCCGTCCTTCTGTTTCTATGTACAGTCCAGCAAACACACTCCGGCCCAGCATTCCTTCTTAGCTTTGTGGGTTGACTTCTGATCTAAATCTAGTAGCCCAGTGGGCTTGGGCTTGAGAACAGATGGGGGCTAGAGTCTTCTGTGGATCATATCACTTGTCAGGGAGAAAGAGAGACCCACAAGTTCACCGAACTGGAGTCTTCTGGGCCACCTCTGGTAATAGGCCCTTGGGTCCTTGCCCCAGCACTGACCTATGAGTTCATACATCGTTCCAGATGATTTAGCCAGTTAGAGGTAAAACCAAGTCACAGAGTCCTGCCTTCTAGTCTTCTCCGGGAGGGTCTTACGCAGACAGTACTCTTAGTACTGCGAGAGCCAGAGGCATGCTGCCTCCCGAGTGCCATGCGCCCCATCACTGCCCTGCGGGTGCTGGTGAGGAGTCCTCTGGAGAATGGTGACTGCTTGTCCACAGAAGTTACCTTGCAAGCTCCTCATGCTGTCAACCGTTCTCACCAAGGTCTTACACAGGATGGGAAGCCTCATTTCCCTGTACTCCCAGAAGACCAAGACCCAGCGAGACCAGATCACTCACTCAGGGTCACACAGCAGCAGACCTGAAGAAGCCTGAGCCACCAAAGTGAATCTGGCTGCCGCCGTAGGCTGCAGCCCTGGACTCCCCCCTGGGACGAAACTCCTATTTCCCTGTCCCTCCTGTTCCCCACCCCCACCTGCACTGCCTGTGCCATGGTACCTTCACCCCGATGTTCACCACCATGGCATCCAGGAGGTCGAAGACCCGGGAGGTGACGCCGTCGCCCCGATCCTTGGCCAGCCAACAGTTGCAGCTCAGCGTGTACTTGGTGCCCTGAGTGGGCACTGCCAAGCTCAGCTCCTCCACCAGCCAGCAGCTCTCAGGGGAGGCTCCATCATGGCCCAGCTGGGAGGTGCACACAGAGGCATGGGGGGGTCTGGCACCCCTGAGAAGGAAGCCCTCCCGACCCAGTGAACTCCCTCCTGCAGCCTCCACCCTCCAGAGGGATCCGTGCTCTGCACTCCCATGTGCTTTGCACTCACTGACTCTAGCCCCTTCTGGGAAGGGGAAGAGATTTTGAGATGTAATTAAGCCTCTGCTCAGGAGATTTCAAGTTAATCAAGAGTATTCTGGGTGGGCCAGGCAAATCAGGTAAGCCACTTAAGGAGGGCCCAGGTGTCAAAGAGGGAAGAAGGCAGAGAGCTCTGAAGCGGAAGGTGTCTGCTCGTATCGGCCTGGGAGAAACAGATCTGGAGAGGGAGCCCTGGGAACTGAAGGCCTCAGTCCTGCAACCCCAAGGAAACAGATTCCAGAGCAACCAGAAAGCCTGGAAAAGAACCCCCAGCCTCAGAGGAGACTCCAGCCACAGCAACAACTCGACCTCAGCCACCGAGACCTCGGGGCAAGGACCCAGTGAACTCACGTCTGAGTCATGAAATTGTGAGAATATATTTGTGTGGCCTTAAGTTGCCAAGTTAATGGTAATCTGCTACACTGCAATAGAAAACTAATACCCAGGGCATCCCTGTTGGAAGGGTGGAAAACGCAGACCTACAGGGACCAGGGAGGCCTCCCATGCCAGCCAGCTGGCTGACGGCGGAGGCCAGGAGAGCTTCCCCTGGTCCCTGCTCTGATGTGGGGCTACCTCCTCCCCGCACTGGCTGTGGTCACCATCCCAGCCTCAGGGTTACCAGTACCTCTATTTTCTTGATGACACCCACATCCAAGCCTGCCACATAGAACTCCTCCACGGAGCCGCAGTTGAAGCCTCTCTTCCCTCGGGGGTAGTCCAGCCAGATGCGGTTGCTGCGCTCGTCATCCTCCCCAATGAACAGGACGAAGGCCCGGCTGTCGGTGGCTGCATCCTTGTGCTTCCCGGTGGTGACCGACACATAGTAGGGAATGACTGCAAGAGGTCATGGGGTCCTGCCTCGTAACCAGTCTGGTGGACCAGGGCAGGCAGGTGGACCTGGAAATGACGTCTGGAGGGCACTGCTCTGTTTCCTTCCTCCCAGACAAGGTGCAACAGAGCTTTGCAGAATAGAGAGTTCTCTATGCGAGGTCTGCTCTCCAAGGAGTGAGGGAATTGGTAACTCCCAAGTGAAGGTCACAGAGAGCAACCTTGCCTCATCTAAAAGCCCTGCTGACCAATTATCTTCCTTGCTCCTAGCATTCCCGTGTGAAGTACCGTAAGAACAATGATCTCTCCTCAAGTACAAGGGTCAAATGCCTGGAAAAACTTATCATAACCGGCAAAAGCAAAGTCTCATACAAAGTAGGAAATTGGGGAAGAACAATAAAATAGTATTAAATATATAGTATGGCAGATGAAAGTTCTAGAAAGGACTCATTTCCAAAACACACCAATTAGTCGGCATAAAGCTTACTCATGTAGTGTGACATAGTTCTAGCTGCCCACCCAGGGACCATTCTCCTTATAGTCAGATGTGGTTGTGATATATGAGCAGATGTTAGTAGGTGGATTGCTGGGCAAATGTCTGAAAAGGTCTGACTCAACTGGGAGGGATATCCTTTTGCTCTTTGTGTACCCATTCATTCTGCTTGGAATGTGACCGTAATGGCTGGTGCTCCAGCAGTCACCTTGCAAGCATGGGCAGTCTTTCCAATGGGAGCTACACAAAAGGCTTGCCAAAGAGATCAAGTTGAAAGAGTCTAGGTACTTGACTTTACAGGAGTTATTGCATCAGTCTCAGATGTCCACCGCTGCATTTTTATGTGGGAAAAAGAAAAGTCTAATTCATTTAAGCCATATCTGCAGGTGTTTGTCACTTGGCTAACTGATACAGACTGGAAACTCTTCTCTTGGTTTATCTTCCTCAATAGCTTGGGAGACACTGCCTTGGGGTAATAGGTTTTGACTTATGCAATCTATATCTTCTTGAGAAGTTTCCAAACTGACCTTCCTGGCTGGAATTACCTGCATTATTTTCTGCACTTGCCTGTGAACTTATTTCATCTTTTCAAGGAGAGCCCCACTGGTCTTTCCACAATTGAGCACAGTGCTTAATTAAGAAGAGACACTTTATTGTGGGTCCTGTCACTTATTCACACAGTAAGAAGGTAGAATATTAAAAAATGGACTCTCTCTGCCAAATACCACAGACCTACCACATGATCCCCAGGAGAGAAATATACTGACTGTATCTCTTACATAAAAGAATTGAACAGAAAGGCCGTGCATTTAAACTTCCAATAGACAAATACAGAACTGTCCTATCTCAAAAATTTGGTAGGACAAATGAACTTCTTAAGAGATGACAATATTGCTTTCTGAAGAAGGAGACTCTGAAGCCAAAAGAATGACTTGTCCAAGGCCATATGTTTGATTTTCAGAACCATAAATGTAACTGCAATCCCAAAAAACCCAGCTTGGGTCTTCTTCCTCCCACCGCAGCCGTGTGAAGCTCAAGTGACGTGACAGGGATCCCCATTGCTGCTGTTGGTTACTATCTGATGAGAATGGCCTTCGGCCTCCCGAAAGCCTGGGTGAGGGTAGAGTTTGTGAGGATCCTTCCCCGGTGGTGGATCAGGGGACTAAAGGCATCATCACCCTAACTCTTCTCAGCCTTTGTTTCCCCATCCATAAAGGGGCCTAATCACTGTCCTCTCCCCTCACAGGGGAGACCAATCTAAACAACAACCACGTGCCTGCTTCCCCAGTGGTTGCTCTCTGCGTGGCTCACCTGGGCCCTCCTGAACGTAGTCTGCCATGGGCCCCGTCACTGTGGCAATGTCGATGTCGGCCATCTTAGAGCTCAGGGTGATCTCCCAGAAGTCAGCGGGGCTGCTGCAGTTGCTGCTCCGGTCCCCAGTGTACTCCTGTCCAGAAACGCACAGCCCAGGCCTGTTACTGCTCTGGCGCCTTCCACCCAGTGGGCCTCCCCCAGGCATAAGGACCATGAAGGAGCTAAGCATTCAGCCACACACCTTCTCATAAAAAAGCCTCTCGAGCCGCCCGTCCTCCTTCTTCAGGGACAGCCAGCGCCCGCACAGGAACAGGAACTCGTCCTCGTTGGTGTCGTTCCAGATCTCCACCTTCTCCACATACCAGTCTGCACACCACTTGGTGTTGTCATGGCGGAGCTTGATCTTGTAGATGACGCCCAGGTCAGCAGCCTCGATGATGAAGGTGTCAGCCTGAGGCGCCCAGAGGTGACAAGTCAGGTGGGGGGAGTAGCTCCCACCTCTACCCACTCCAGCGCCACCCACCCGATACCTACCTCAATGTTGAGAAAATAGTCTTTCCCAGACAGGATCCCTGAAAGCCCACGCCACTCACACAGAGCATTGGGTATTTAGAGTCTTTAAAGTCTGTTCCTCTTGGGATAAGCCCTGTGGATGTGTGGGGACAGCCTCTGAGGAGCTGGGTGGGGGGGAGGGGTTGGGACAGAGGGGTGCTCAGCCAGGTGCTGGTAACAGACGTCCTTAGTTGGGCTATGTGTTGGCCTAAGTTCAGGAGGGAGGCTGGAGGATAAAAGGGATAGAAGAGGCGGAATGGCTCTGAGTAATGGGAGGAGCTTGAAATTCCAGGTGGAGCCTGGAGGCAGTGCAGGAGGCCACAGCTGGGCTGCAGGAGAGGGGAGGCCCTGGCGGGGCGAGGCCGAGGAACAACATCTGTGATGGGGACTCAGGAGGGTTCTGTGTGGGGTGTGACATTAAGGGCCTCCTCTGTCGCTAAGGCTGCCTTCAATAAAACGATACTATACTCAGCCACTTGTATTCTTTTGGGCTCATTCAGAAGTGGCAGGGGCCTTGAGGACAGAGTTGAAACACAGGTTGAAGGTGGCAGGCAGGAGCCTGGGAACAGAGAGGAGGTGACCCGGAATGACATCCGTTTTTCTTCCCTAACAATGCTGACTCGCTGTTAAGTGCTGGGAACCCAGAGATAAATAGGAGAGGTGGCCTGCTGCCCCTCGCCCCCAGGGCCTCACCACGAAGTAGGAGAGGAAGAAATGGGTAAGTCCAGCCCCTGAGCAAGGGCAGGCCTGGAAAGACTCCCAGGTGGTGGCGTTAAGCTGAAGGTGGGGCAGGTGGGCCCTCCTGGCAGCCACAGCCAGTCTGCAGGCTGAGCTGAGCAGCGCGTAAGTTAGCGGTGCTGACAGACAGCAGGGTGCACCTGTGCCAGCCTTTACGGTGCCGGCAGGTGACAGCGTTCATTAGGAAAAACAGGCACATTCCACTTCTTTGCACCCCTTCAGTGGGGCAAGCCTTCCTACACACAGAGGGATGTTTACTGTGGATAATTTTTACTTAGAAAATGGAGCCATGCAGGAGTCCAGCACTTGGGGGTGGGTAAATAACTATGGCCACGTCCTGAGTGGGAAGTTCTCGGTTTGGTGGTTGCAGAGAACAAGCCGGCTCCATTTGTGACTGCACAGCCTGCTGTGGATTTCCAAGGTACCCCGCTGCATGCCAATGCAGCTCAAGTGTGCACAGAGGGTGGGGCTTTTATGTTCAGATAACCACATAGATTTCCTAGGGGCACATGCACCCTGATGCAGAGAAAAGGCTCACGAAGATTCAGAGACAGGAGGGAAGGTGGGGTGATCTGGAAACGGGGCCCAGGGCCTGGAGGGGACATTCCACACAGGCTGGAAGAGGGCGCCCTGTGGATCCTTTGGAGGGCGCAGGCCAGATCTGGCATCCTGGGGGCCCCTGATGGTTAAGTGACTCAGAGACTTGGAGCAGTCAACTGAGGAAGCCTGGAAGACGGGCTGGACTTCTGAGCCCTGGTGCAGGGACATCAGGCAGGTTCACTAAGAAGGCGACCTAAAGAGTGGCAAAGCCAACGGTAACAGAGTCTGCAGGACCTGGGAATTGCCTGGATGTGGTGGTGGAGTGGGGGAGGGTAAGGGGCTGTTAGGGAGAGGGGTGTGAGAATTCTTGGGCTCTGGAGCAAGTGATGAGAGAATTCCTGGGCCCTGGAGCAAGTGGTGAGAGAAATGGAGCCTTTTAGGTGTTTAGCTGTGAACTCAAAATTGCACAACTAGTCAATGACTAAGCCAGAAGTAGCTCTAGACTGTGTTGCTCAGAGTTCTGCCCAGCACAGTTCAGCTGATTCCTTGCAGACTTTCCCCTTTACAGATGGGGAAACAGAGGCCAGAAAAGTTCAACCTTGTGAGGATTGATGGCAGAACCGGCCCCCAGACCTCCAGTGCAAGCCTCCGTGGGTGCAGCCCAGCCCATCCTGGAAGCCGGACCCCTGCTCACAAGCTCCCTCAGTGAGCTGGGTTCTCTGCAGACCACCCACTCCCATGTAGCAGGCAACTGGGGGCACAAACAGGCCCCTTGCTCAAGCACTCCTCTCTGCTCAAGCCCCGCCCAGAGGCAGGACCCCGAGTCCATGTCCAGACCGAAAGGGTGGGGCCAGCTCTCTGCAGGGACAGCACAAGGGAAAACGCCCCCATGCAGGTGCGTGAATCCCCGAAAGTCTCAGGGACCAAGAAGAGCGGCCCTGGATGGACCTGGCAGGAGAAGAGAAGCGATGGCCTCAGCGCCCCTCCTACCGTTCCTTTCTCGAACTTGTTGGTGCGGTTCTCTGACTTGCCAAGGTACCGCTCCCCGGTGTCTCCCAGGTCTCCGTAGATGGTGATGTAGACCCTGGCGTCTGTCCCTGCCCCAGGAACATTTCCGGTGAAGATCTGCACTGAGTACAGCACAACTGGGAGGCAGTTGGACAGAGACACATTGGAGAATAAATGAGCTAAAGCAGCGGACAAAGAGGTGAAGCTTCTTTCAAAAACCCTTCATCTTTCCCTAGAGAGATCTGGCATTGATGCGGGTTGCTATTGAGTGGAAAACAGTGTTGCCAGGTGCATGTGGATCTAGTGACAGGGTGTCCTGAGTCTCTCCTCTGGGTGCTATTGAAGCTGGGTGGGGAGATGGTTTGAGAACAAAGAGGGGAGGGCACAGCTTTAGGTTTGGGGGTGCTGAAGCGCAAAGCTCATGAAGCTTCTCATTGGAGGAGAACATGTCTCAGGGCTGCAGGGGAAAGCCCCCTTGCCAAAACTTTGTCTCCCATGCCATGGGAAGGTTAACAAATATCGGTGTTAACATAATTAAAGATCATTAAGGAACCAGGACAGGGGTGGGAAGAGCACAAGGGACTGTGGTGATGGTGCAAGAGGGAACTGGTGGTGGGAATTTCACGGGGGGACCATACATGCACAAAAATGAAGGATGATATCATGAATATATCTAAAAATTTAAAATATAATTAACTAATTAGTTTTAAAAAATCATTAAGGAGAGTAAAAATGAATGCTCTCTTGCTTGCTGCTGTGGCTCAAGGAGGAAGAATAAAGTGTCTCTTTACCCAGCCCCCACCCCACAGGGAAGGGAGAGTCTTGAACTCTTATGAAGGTTCAGCGTTCTTTGTTTCCTCTCCACATTGCCTGCCTGGCTCATAGAGACATGAGGCAACATCAGGAACCTTGTCGCTGTTTCGCCATAACCATCAGCGGGCACCTCCTTTTCACCCCTTTCCTGACTAGGCATTCCACTCTGCTGCACACCAGGACCTTTTCTAGGAGTTCTTGCTCCAGAATGGGGTGTGGGGGGGGGCAGGGGTTAGGATGAAATGACTGTCCAGCCCCCCCCCCCCCCCTCCCCCCCATCCCCACTGTTCTCCCCTTCCTGTGGGAATTTGGAAAACTGGCTCAACTTCCGGGTGTTGAGCAATGCGGTTGTGCAGTCAAACCCGGCTATTTCTGGATCCTCCTCCCTCCCAGCCCGCCTGGCCACACAGCTCTCGGAGGAGAGATGTTTCCCTAGAAACATCGCCAAGCACACAGTGGGCTTGCGGCATGTTCTTAATACAGAACAGCCCAAGTGTGCCCCTGGGACAGCTTTCCAGGGGGTCCTCTGGGATCCCAGTCGAAAAGGGAATTATCCCCCAGGTCTAATAGCAAAAAAAATTCAGAGAAAGAAATATGGGTAGGAAAAGTCATCATATTGTGGCAACACTTGATTGTATCTGGAGCCAGTGGGAACTCCCGGCAAGGGGCTGTTACACGTGTAGCTGTTTTACTCCCCCAGGGCTCCACATGGGGCCAGGTCTCAGATTTTACCCCAGTTGTTTTGCTTCTGGTTTTCAAAAAGCAATGCAGTAAATGCAAGCTCTCAGAACCCCTCTGATCCGTGTCGACTGCCCCAGACAGTAGAAAGACCCACTGGATTCTGTTACATCATCGGCAGCAGAGTGTCTGTTCTTTCCAAGTGGAGAGGCTCTCCGCATAGCCACAGCTCATTCAGAGCTGACTCTGGTGACTCGTGGTCAACATGCACCGTGGCCTCGTGGGCTAAACAGTGGCCCATGTGAGTGCGCGAGCGTGTGGGTGCGTGTGTGTGCATGTGGAAAGAGAGAAGGCTGAAGACTGAGCCTTGGGCAATAAACACCATGTGGCATAATAAGAAAGGAGACAACATTCAGTGAGTTAGTGAGAGAGGTAGGAAGAGAACCAGAAGATGGTGGCCCCAACCCAAAGCAAAGAGGTGCAAGAAGCATGTGGTGAGACTGATGCAAAGCCTACAAAGAAAACCATGTCAGTGGGAATGGGCGAAGGTCACTGGCAGCCCACAAGCGGGGAGGTCCCATCCTGGTTTGGGGCCGCGTTCACACTCACAGCTGCAACTAGTCCCTAACAACACATACACAGCAGCCTCAGTGAGGCACTAATCTAGGCTGTGTCTGGATGCTTTTTTTTTTTTTTTTTAAGATTTATTTATTTGTGCATACAGAGCTAGGGTACAGGTCAGAGGTGCAGGGGTTGTGAGAGGATTCACCAGAGACAGAGTGGGGAGCAGAACAGGCCAACTGATGAAGCACACTAGGGGGGCAGCGGGCAGGCTAGGAGAGGTTGCCGCACCCTGTGGGTCACCTCTGGGGTGGGGATCGAACTCATGCTGAAGTGGCTTTAGTTTCTTAACCAGCTGTGCCACCAGGGAGGGCCCTGATTCTGGGGCCATTTTAAGCAGGGACAACTAGACCCAGCAAAACGGACAGGACTGTGCTTCACAGATTAGTAGCCAAATAAATGAAGAGAAGACAGAGAGGTGGCATAGTGTGGGCACAGAGGACACGTATCTGGCGTCCCATCAGGCTGTGAGACCAGGAAGGGAGCTGATCACAGACCTCAGAGGGCAAGAGCAAGACTCTGCCATTCATGAGCCGTGTGAGCAGCAGCAGGGCACGCACCTCTGAGTCTCAGCTGCCCCCTTTAGGGACAGGCACAGAGGTCATAACAGACCTGCTCCTGGAGCAAGGGCTTTGCCGGTCACAGAGTGGGGCCCTCAGGGAAAGCTGCCGGCTGTGACAGGTGATCACACCCCACTTACTATCCAGAGGCTCCTCTACTTCCTTGTAGACTTGTCTCAAGGACCCATCTTTCATGTATTTCTCCGTGAAGATGTCATAAGGGACCAGCTCTCGAATAGTCTTCTTGTCGTCTTCCGAGGTTGCGAGCCATCGATCACAGGGGAAAGTCAAGGTCTCCGTACCCTGAGGTAAGGACGAAAGAGGAGATATTCATCCCTAACGTGGAGATTGTGAACTTCAGTGGCTCACCAGCACCCAGCACCCCTGTGGAAAAGGGTCAGGGAGTCCCACAGGTATGCTAAAACCACTTCTGGACCTTATCAGGGTTTCGCTCTTAAAGGCCAAGGCCAAGTTCCCAGGGTCACTTAAAATCCTGAAGACTCAAACTTGGGGCAAGGATGGACTCTATATTTTTATTGTTCCATAACAGAGAACTGTCACCTGGTTTTTTTGTTTTTGTTTTTTTTGATTAATTATTTCTTCATCTGAGTATGCTTATTAGATATGTCACATTATATAAGTTTAAGGTATTACAGTGACCTCCTGTGTTTAGGATTTTGTGATTCAGAATGTGCCCCACATTTGGGGGGGGGGGTTTCCTTCTATGAGTTGACCTGGTACTGCAGGAAGGGGGACACTGAGTCACTGCTGGGAGTGTGGCTTTGGGGACAGAGGCAGACTCAAGGCTGGCCAGACCCTCCTCCTTGACACCAAGACCAACTTTCAAAACCTTCCGCCTTGAACCTGAGCTACATTCCTTCCTATATGCTGAGTGGATTGAGTGAATTTTCCTTAGGACATCGTATCTCAACTTCATGAGGCTTCAGTTTCTCCATGGAAACCTGCTTCAGTGCTTCACTTTAACCCGCTGTGCCACCAGGGAGGGCTCTCTGCTTCTGGATGTTTTGTAAGCAGGGACAACTAGACCCAGCAAAACAGAAGAGCAGGTCAGACCTGTCTGGAACTCACATCTTTATCTGGGAGGAGCCTGCGGATGTCCACATGGGAGCAGTGCCAGCCGGGATTGATGCCCGTGTTATCGTGGCCAATCCGGATTTTCTCAATGATCTCACCCACGTCTTCTAACTTTAGAAAGGAAAAAATGAACAAGACGCTAGCTGAAAGGTGCAGGAAAGTACAACCTCAGCAACATCCTGTCTACCCAGGACATCTACCTTTGAGTCCCTATGAACTGCCAGGGGTCACTTTCTCCAGTCAAGCCAGCTATCCCTCTCTCCTCCACATACTTCCCTCATGCTTCCTTTACTCAAGACTAGACTCTAGAATTTACTTCAGTCTACTGGGAGGTTGTCCATCCTCTTGCTACTTCTTCCATTAATTTTTAAAAAAGATTTACTTATTTATGTATATGGAACTAGAGTACAGAGCAGAGGTGCAGGAGTAGGAGAGGATTCACCAGAGACAGCGTGGAGAGCAGAAGAGGCAGATTGAGATGAAGTAGTCTGCTGAGGGGAGCAGCGGGGACACAGGAGAGGTCTGTTGCACCACCTGGGTCGCCTCCCTGGCTGGGGGTGGCTGAAGCGGCTGCAGCTAACTTTGCAGTGTTGCACTTTAACCTGTTGCACCACCAGGGGTAACTCATTGCGCCACCAGGGAGGAACCCTCTTTCTTCCATTGTTACAGTTGTGACAGTTCTTTGCCTGCTGAGAGCTGACTTGTTATCAGAAGTTGGGCACTGGCTGTGCCCATGCCTTGTCCTACAAGGATGAGGTCACCTACCCTCTGGCCCCTCAGAGCCTGCTCTGCCCTCACCCACTCCTCTTCTATGCATCCTCAAATTCCAGCCGATCAACTTGACATACTCTAACCCCAGGGCCTTTGCACATGCATTCCTTCCCCGCCCCTCCCCCCTTTTCCTCTTTCAGGTCTCAACTGAGGAATCACTTCTCCAGCCAGCCCCCCGAGAAAATCTAATCTCCTCATGACACCCTGACAGAACATTCTCTACCTCAGCCCTAGCACGTCCCAGCGTTTGCATTTTTTTGGTACCCTCTCTTCCAACACTAGAAGCCACAAGGGCAGAAACCACCTCAGCTTTTGCTCACCGTTGTACCCCCCAAAGTAAAAAAGAACATCAACTAATAACTATAAACCAGAGAAATTCTATGGAGGGCAGGAGAGGGGAACAAGATCATACGGAGGTGAGGAGAGCACACGGGACTGTGGTGATGGCACATGGGTGAGGTGGTGGTGGGAAGTCCAAGAGGATTAAAATTGGGATGAAAAAATACACAAAATGAAGAATAATGTAAAAAATATATTTATAAAAGAAAAAGAAAACAAATAAATAAAAGCTTTCTTTTAATAGCTGTAACTAGCATAAAAAAAAAATACCCGGAGCAAGTCGTTTGCCTTCCTGCCTCGACTTGGCTGTAAAACTCTTACCACCGGGCTCGTGAGTGCTGCATGAGCCCAATGAGCAGCTCTGGTGGCTGCTCCCAGTCAAGGAGGCCAAGGCCATGTGGCGCAGGAGCAGCTGAGCCAGACCTGGACGGGTCACGGACTCGCAAACCAGCTCCGCCTCCTCCCTAAAGATCAGTGAGAAGAGAGAAGCGGAAAGGTAGGGATACAAAGCCTTTGCAAGTGTCTCCAAGCTCTCATACTCCCCCAGAGAGAACAGAAAAGAAAGTCCCAGAGAGACTAGAAAAGAAAAAAGAAAAGAAAGTGGCAAATAATAGCTGCCAATTAGTGGAAACTTCATTGACAAAACTCCCCGGAAGTCACGCTGAGGTGGGGTGATGGCCGGGCCACAGGCGGCACCCAGCTTAGCTGACTCACACCCCACCATGTCTGGGGGGGGAGGGGAGATGAGATGTGGCTTTGAAAGGATCAGTGACTCACCCTGGAATTTTCTTTGTGAAAAGACGCACCAAGGCAGCAGGCCCTCCCCGAGGGGCTGACAGCAGCCAGAGAAGGGGGAGGGAACACGCAGCCACCTCCCACCCAGGGGCGCTCACACACACACACACACACACACACACACACACACATGCTGATCAGGCTCCTAAGGCCCCCACCTCCTGTCCAGCCATCCCTTTTAAGTCCTCCTCCCTCCTCCTCCCCCCAAACTGCAGACCTCAAGCAGTGTTTACTTCCACCTTGGGGCCTTGGCGGTGATGTTCCCTTCGCTAGGAAAACCCCTCCGTGTCCCAGCTTGCTCCCACTTTCAGGCCCACCTCTTCCTTCTGGGAGCCCCACACTCTCCAACACCTACAGCAGGCTCAGTCAGCCTGCCCTTGTCCCCAGCTGAGCTGGTCTCCTGCA